TCCCTTTCTTAAAAAAAAAAACTATTTCATTTTTCTTTTTTTTTATAATATCAAGTGACGGGACGACGAACAAGTCGTGCCTGATGGTAAGCTACACACCTGTCCATAACAGTTGCAGTGCCACCCAGAGCTTTAAATCGCAAAGATCTGAGAGGCACTGCCATTGATCCCGTCATCCTGAGACATAAGTTGACAAGTCCCATGTGCCTGTAAATGTTTACGTTACTGCTTGGCGATAGAAATAGGTAAGGTGGCAGTACTTCCCTGGACGGACTCCTTCACAAGAAGCTCTACGCTACTGAACGACTCTAAATCATTCTCCTGTAATACTTTCCAAATGCACGCCAGACGTTTTACCTTTCCAGGGTCGATATAACGTTAAACAAAATGTTGTCGGTAAGTACGTACCTACATTTAACATCAGTAGCGAGTGAACAAGATGACGTTAGTTTTGGATGCCGAAATCACAAACACGAATTCACGTTCGTTGTTTAATGATAAAATAATAATCCCAGTAATGAGATGTTAACGTCGTTACCCCAAAAAGAAAGTAGTGGTATATCGATAAAAAGTTTTCGATAATTAAAAAAATTAAAAGTATGAATTTTGATAATAGTGTTAGATTCATCCTGGCTATGTGCATGTGGACATGCACGGCGTCAAGATGGACGAGTGTTAGTTTGGATGGTCAGAGTAATTTGTGGAGATTAAAGTTTTAATAATGGCAACACTGATTTTTGGTAAAAAAAAATGGACGTTCATTCGGTAAGGAGCAGCGAGATTAGCTAAGATTAGTTTAATTGTGTTATAATAATTCTGTAACCCATCTATTTTTGATATATTACACTGATAAATACTGTGAAAGCGACTTTTATTATAATGGATTGAATGAATTGACATTTCAGTGTTATTACTTTTTAACCGACTTTACAAAAAGGAGGAGGTGCATGCTCAATTTGACTGTATGTTTTTTTTAATGTATGTTACACGATAACTCACGGCATTTGAGCACCGATTTTGATGATTCTTTTTTTGTTGGAAAGAGAGTATCGCCGTTGTCGTCCCATTTAATTTTGAAAGAAATCATCCACCTCTAATGGTGGCTGTTCACACATGAAGACTCATTTTTATAAATAGCGCCTAAATTTTATTATAACTATATTATATTATTTTATTATTGCGTAACATACATACAAAAAAAAGAAAAGAACATAGTGAATGGAGAACCTCCTTTTTTGAGGTCGGTTCAAAATAAATGTAAAATATGCTTAAATTGCAAATATTTCGTTTTTTTTTCTATGCTTGAAGCTTAATGCGAAACAGATTCCGAATTTTAATAACTTTTTGCTTAATCTTGGCGTACAAGAGAAGTACAGTGTAAATCAAATCATTTAATTACGAATATTACATCCATATTATTATTATACGAAATTCAAAGCGCACACATTTACATTAGATAATTAAATAAATTAAATTAAATTCAAGTTCAAATAAAATAAATTAAATACAAATGAAATTAAATTAACAATAAAAATAAAATTAATAAATTAATTATTAATAAATAAATTAATTAATAAAAATTAAATTAAACAATAAAATAAAAACAAACACTAGAGACTCAGTTAAAATACAATTTAAAATCTATTATAGCCCTAGGACAGTAATGCAATGAAAAAGCTCGTGGATACAGTTCAGGACATTACGGTCGACTTTGCCTGCTTGTCATGAAAAAAAAGTTTAACATCCGAAGTGCTGTGTAATTTCAAATTATGTGTTATAGAACGTGTATGTAAACAATAAATAAAACGAGCCCAAAAGGGTTTCCAAAAACGTTCACGTTAACTTTGTTTACTGTATAAGGCATAATGCAGTAAATAAAGAAGCAAATATGAAAATGCAATTTGTTACGCGCATACAGAAAAAGGCAAGGGTCATAATCAAAGTCCATTTATCAATCGACATTTGTCAATAAGTATTTTTATGGTTAGTGTGCAACCCTAGAAAGTTAAGCTCACAATACAGGAAAACGACTGTTGCCCGGTAATTTACTATCATTGCACAAAACTTTTTTACAGACTTAAACTAAACAGAACGAACTAATGTGCCTACGAATTAGCCATGCCTTGCCCTAAGTGAAATGTAACAAAGCAACTATGAATTACGGCTAACTGATATTTGACCAATCGTTAAGGCTGTTTAAAGTTTCAGTGATCTGCGGGCGTGGTCGAGTGAACAGCTAAACTGAACTCGTTATTAATCAAATAGAATTTTAAATACGATTCGTGACACCGTATGTTTATGTGCCCGTAAGTGGGTTAGACTTAATTCGAGTCTATTTGAATACTTAATTTTGGTAGTTACGTGAATGTGAGAAAATTGAGTTTTGTCAAAAGAAATTCTCTAAACATGTTTACTTTGGTAGTTACTTGACCGAACGTTGTGATGTCGATGGAAACATGTTGCATCAGCTGTAATTTAAATCGCGTATATTTGTTTTTTCAAACTCTCCAATGTTATGGGCTCTTTAGCGCGCTGCTACACGACACGAAAGGTTTTGCGTGATCGTCGCGCGACCACCCAGTTGGTACGCTTTCACGTACATTAATAGCGAATCTGAATTCTATTTACTAGGCATTTAATTTCCTCTGAATAATACAACCGGGCGATCGTCTCTCGTTAGCCGAACGGTTGCCGTGTTAAAAAAGACAAACCATCCTCGCCCGAGCACCCGGGGTGCTCATTTAAGTTAAAATGTAGAAGTTAAATAAATAGAGTATACTTTGCCATGACCGTTAGAAGCACGCGGTCGCTGCGCGTCGGCAACGCAATGAAATTCGTGTCAAATAAATGCGCAGTAAACGTCCCACAGTCGCTATCATTGGATGGTATTAGTCATTAACTATTTACATCGAGTAAACCAGAAAAAGAGACGAAATAAGGGCCATATATTCCTGGTAACACATTAGCGATACAGCTCTTATAAATATGAACTCTCGTTTGCACTGAAATATAGACAGGCCAACTACTGGCCTGTGTGTACGTCTCCGTATATTCCAAAAAAATATTCTGTATTTATTGTAATAAAGATAATATCTCTAACAATGCCGTGCTGTTCTATTCGGTGGTGTGGGAAAAACAGCAAAATATCTAATTACATAACAAACGAAATGACATTTCATTGGTAATTCAATATTAAATATGTAATTTTGCAATTTTCATCCATTATAGCAAAGCTCCAATTAACTGGTCGTTTTGAAGTGAAACAGTTGACAACACCGATTGACGACACCCGCCAATTGTTTCGAACTCGGGCTAGCCAATTGGAGCGCAGTTGTCACAGTAATGATATGGCAGAATAGTTTTCAAACATATTAACACTTTCGGCCCCCCGCCGCTTTAGTCAGATGCTCACTTTGTGACACAGTTTTCTTCCATACAAATTGGACTACGTCATAAAACGTTCTGCTTTCCGGGTGTGCTATGGTGATTTGAAATGCGACACAAGCGTCAAGCGACGTCGACGGCAAATGACGTTGTGCTGTATGCGGTCGAAATATCGGCAGGAAATTTAGACACAACGTCTGATCACGTTGACGTCTATAAACGTTGCGTCACAAACAATGAATTGAGTTCGTATGAATAAGGAAACAACGTGTTATCACGTTGACGGCAATAGAAGTTGCGTCGCATACTATAAATTTAATTTTTTATATTTTATAACAACTTCTAATGACGTCGACGTTGGAACATGTTCTATCATTCAATAATACTCTTTTAAAAAGAACAAAGCTGATACCAGTAGACGACAACAGACATCTAATATGTATAATTATTTAGTAAAATAATAAAAACAGTTATTTTGAGGCACTTATTTATTACTAATTAGTAATTATATTCAAATTACAAGAATGGCACATTAAGGGATCAAGTAGAGTAGAAATAAAATAACATTTGTCTTTTAAATTCCGTAATGCTTATAAAAGAAACATACGCAAAACATAATCATTATCTAAAATGTCATTTTTATTTTGTCACTATATTAAAGTGTTTTAACTAAACCTAGGTATTTATTTTATAAATATTAAAATTACATGTTTAGAGATAACGTTGAATAGTAATGAAGTAGAATTTGTCTTCTCACATTCGTAGTGTTTATTACAGAAAAATACGCTAAACATAATCATTTTCGATAATTCCAATAATAACAATATTATAAATAATTACAATATATAAAAATAATTATACTCAACTCAGGTATTTGTACTCCTTTAAAGGGACATCTTATCCTACATAAAATCTAATCAGTCAGAACATAGGAAATCAGCCTTCACAATTATTAATAATTAATTATGTTGATTTAATTCAACCTGAATTAAGTACGGCAATGCCATTCTTCGAAACAAACAGCACATAATGCTGGCTTCTCCTCACAACCCTTGCATCTGAGACTCGTCTCTCTCCTTATCTTCTTTTGGGAGCACATCTTGCATTTCAAGTAGTAGGTTTTTTTTTTCGAGTTTTCCCTTACTGGTATCTTTTCTGGCCAATGACCACTATTTTCAATATTCGCTGATTGTAACAAGTTACTCCTGTCTTTAAGTCGGTTGTCATATTTGTTTCTACTTACTAGCATCTCTGGTTTTAAGTTTGGAGGCATTTTTATGAGCACTTTAATTAAGTCTTCTCGAAAACTTCTGAATTCGTAAGATTTGCTGTTATTTTTACAATACTTTCTGTATACATAAAAACTGTTCCATACCGCAAGGTCTAATAAATGGAAGAATACCTTTTTATACCATCTTAATGTTTTTCGGGGTGAGGAATAATAAGACACCATTTGGTCTGTTCTATCAATTCCTGCCATAAATTGGTTGTAGATGCTAATTTCAAGCGGCTTCATACGATTCTGTCCACGCCTGTTCGAAACTTCTACGAGTTTGGGATGATTTAAAGTCGTAACCATAAGAACCGATCTCTTGTCTTGCCATTTCGATACGTACACTTTATTTTTACGAAGCCAAAAATGATCATTCTTCTTTAATTTCTTCATTATCAACTCTTTCGGGTTGTCTTTTCTGTTACTCCTCAGAGTTCCTGTTGTATGCGTTTTTAAGTCCAATAGTTTTTGAGATAGTGTAACTGAATTATAGTAATTGTCCATGAACAGCCAATGCCCCTTCAATAAATAAGGTCTCATCAGTCGCATCACAAGTTGTTCAGTCTTTTTTCCTCTAACGTTTTCATCCTCATCATTTTTCCCGGCGTACATAATTATATTCAGAACGTATCCGTCAGCTGTAGTTAATTCATAAAATTTTATACCATATTTCGCTTTTTTAGATTTAATATATTGTCTAAAAGACAAACGACCTCTGAACAACAGCATTGATTCATCCAAAGACAGTTCCCTTCCAGGACTGTAGCATTCACGAAAGTTGTTGGTTACAGCATCAATGAATTTAATAATTTTGTCTTTGCCTTTAGCATCGCCTTCAGAAACGCATAAGCATCTTAATATTTGTTCGAATCTTCGCGCAGACATAGTGTAATGAAAAATCGGATGATAGTACAGCGGATCATTGTACGTAAAGAGTTTTTTCTTTTTGGGAACAGTCACTTGTCCCATTAATAAACACAAGCCAAAAAATTTTAAAATTTCTTCACGGTTTGTGTTTTTGTAACGGTACCTGCGTGAATTCCTAGTCGTCGGTCTGTTTGTGAAACACAGTTTTCTACCATACGCATTTGTAGAAGTAACTACGTAGTCTACAATATTTGAGGGAAACATCTTATTGAAGACGTCTACGACCGAAATATTTGAACCGAGTTCAAACTGAATACCTTCAGAAATATTGTCGAAGTCAAACGTCGGAATATCTGTTGTTGAGTTTTGCCAATCAACATCTGGAGGACTTGTGCGTTGCACATCATTATATGCAGGCAGTGGCGAAGTAGGTTGCGATGTCGTGGAAGAAGCTACGTTTTCTTCCATTTCAGGAATATGCGGCGATGGGACAGGAGCTGGGTAACCATATCTCTCTGCGGCTTGCGATATAATGGGAGGTGTCGGATTGTTATCCCTTTCTGCAAGCGGCGGCGATTCACGAATAGGCGGCGATGGAAAAGGAGCTGGATAATCATCCCTCTCTGGTGCTTCTGGGGAAACAGGAGGTGTTGCGATATCCCCGATTTCAAAAGGCGACGTGGATGCTGGAGGTAGATTATGTTCCAACTCACCCGGCAGAAATTCATTCGCCTCATCCGAGTGTATACTATTTGTTAGAATTTTCTGCCTTTTACAACGGTTACGAAAGTCAAAAATACTTCCAGAACTTGCAGAACATACAGAATTCTCAGAACTAGATTTATCTGACGCCGAGGTTTCAACCTTAGACGTCGTTGGTTTGGAACAAGAAGGCCGTGTGTAACTCACTGAGCTGTCGCTGTCACAAGATGCCTCCAGCCCTGGATCATAATCCTGGTCACTTCCGTATTCTCCATCGTCGCTGAAAGGATCTGGCGTCGCTTCCCGGGATGAAGCATCTTCAAAAAGTTTGAGTGACTCCTTGTTACATTGTGGCTTTTTATCCATCTAAAACAATACGATGTTGTTTATTGGCTCAACTATTTTACGATGACAGATCTAAATAAATAAATTTTAGTGATAACTACGAGTACATGTGATGGTTCTCATTATATAATATTGGTATATGAACTCCATCAAAGGTAATCTGTATTGAAAATACGTAATTTTTACAAAAACAATTGCATAAAACTTACGATTTATCAGTAAATTGTTCGCATCAACACTATCGGCACGCGTGACCTCTGCGGCGGCGCACAGCGACTGAGGCGCGGGGCGTTGCGGTTCCGAGCGACGTGTATAGACGTTGTAGATGTGTGCGTGAATGTATGTGTGATGCGAAAGATGTGTGCAAAATGGCGCCAAAAGTTGATTCGTTATGGCTCTAAGCATGTAAAAATTTCAAGTATTGCGGCGCAAAAATGAACCCAATAGAATTTACTTCGTTTTTAGGCCGTTAATAAACGTTGTGGATATAAAAGCATATTTAAGTGAGACGTGCTTAGACGTTGTGTCACATAACATTTTCATACATTTACGTCATAAGACGTTAGCGGGTCCGAAAGTGTTAAATTATATTATATTAGGAATTAACAGTCCGAAACGTCACAGGGATAATTTCATCTTTTTTTTATTTTTATTTATTTATTACATTTAAAGCACTAAAAAAACAAAACATTCCAGTATAACATAAACTTAACTAAGTTTTTTCATATACCGCTCAATCATCAACATCTCTAGGTGTACAAGCGATACTCGTATTTTCTCGGATTTAGTGCACAAGCGACAATCGAAGTGAGTCCGACTTTTCTAGATTTGTACAGTCTCGCATTCGCAACGAATATGTATTGGATGACGCAAACGCCCTAAATAACAAAATAGATTAAGATGACGCTTACGAAAAATGGAATTTCCAATATATTGGGCCATTACCGCCAACTTAGTATAAGCGACAGAAAACATATTTTACAGGAGAGGGTTTTTTTAATATTTCAACCATTGACTTACAATTATATGGACGTCGGGTCCGCGCTAAAAAGTG